ATGAGCATGGTCGTTCAAGTTTCGTCGAGAGCCGTTGAGGCCGGGCTAAGGATCAAGGACATGGTGGACCATGGGGTGGACAGCGATGCCCTGCTCAATACCATCGCCACCTTCACTGAGATGGGGAAGTCCTTCGCGTATAACAACTGCCCGATCGTCTCCCCCGTCGGCTCGGAATCCCCGTACGCCACCAGGTCCCCGTGAGGAAGACAGATTGGCCCAGCTCTCACTACTGGATGCCTGCCGAGCTCAATTCTCCCTCATCGCTCCTTCCTCCTTCCACCCCTCCTTCCCTACTCCTCCCTTGTCAATTACACAGAATGAGTGAGTACTACTCTCCTGTCTCCCCTCACCATGCGCGGAAGGTATTCGGCACTCTCCGCGCATGGTTTTGCAAAACCAGATATCAGACGTTTTCGGTTGCTCTTGTATTTTAGATCGGACCGTTTTCGGTCCTTCGAAATGGTGCTCCCGCTGCAGCGCTGGCCTCATTTCCGCGCTCCTGGTCCTTCAAAATCGTGCTCTCGCCGCAGTGTTGGCCTCATTTGAAGATCGGCGCTTTGCCCCCGTCGTTCAGAATGGTGCTTTGGCCCCAGCGCTTGCCGCGTTTCTGGATCCGAGTGCTTGCTCATCAGTGTCGCCTGGCTCAGCACCCTGCTCCTTTCCCTTCCCCCGCCTTCCCCTGGTCATCCTGCTCCTTCAGCTTCTCTGGCTCCTGCTGCTGCTGCTGCTGTTGTTCCTCATCGTTTCATCCTCCTTCCTCCTCTTCCTCGTGTTCATCCTCTTTATCATCTGCCACCTCATCCAATGTATGCAGCCTCCCTTGTCCGATGGCGAATAAGAAGACGGTGATCTTTTGGTACTCTCAGGTCCGCTATGACACTTGCTGGCGGATGCAGAAAGCGTGCGCGCCATGGGAAGGGATGGGTGGGGGCGGGGTAGGCACCTAGCTTGTCCCTTCCCCTCTGTCCTCTCTCCGCTCCCTCCCCCCTCGCCCCCTCCTCCCCCGTCACGTCCACTCGCAGCGGTGCAGCCCGCACCCGTTTTCGCACGCGCGCTCAGAGGGAAGACCGCCCACACGAGGCGGCAGATCCCTGGCCGGCCCCGCGTGAAGCCACGGGGCCGGCGCGGGACACCCTGAGCGGCCTCGGAGCCTTACAGCGCGCTCCGCGAAGCCTCCCGGCGGGCAAGGAGACCTGACCAGACCGAGAAGGGAGGGGAGTTCCCCAGGGTCTCGAAGGGCAAGCAACAGTGCAAACGTTTGGCGTCGACGGCTATGGAGAGAGTGACTGCGCCGGCGACAGAGGCACAAACGGGGGTTCCGTGGGAGCGAGTCGTGCCAGCATGGAGGAGGAGGAGGAGGAGGAGGAGGAGGAGGAGGGAAGAGGGAAGAGGGAGGGAGGAGGGAGGAGGAGGAGGAGGAGGAGGGAGGAGGAGGAGGAGGAGGAGGAGGAGGAGGAGGAGGAGGAGGAGGAGGAGGAGGAGGAGGAGGAGGAGGAGGAGGAGGAGGAGGAGGAGGAGGAGGAGGAGGAGGAGGAGGAGGGAGGAGGAGGAGGAGGAGGAGGAGGAGGAGGAGAGGAGGAGGAGGAGGAGGAGGAGGAGGACGAGGAGGAGGAGGAGGAGGAGGAGGAGGAGGAGGAGGAGGAGGAGGAGGAGGAGGAGGAGGAGGAGGAGGAGGAGGAGGAGGAGGAGGGAAGAGGGACGTGGCCGAAGGAGAGCCAGGACGGGGCGGACAAGGAACAGTACAAGCATACACTCTCGGAGCTCCGTGCGGCTCTGTTGGGTCGGCGCGAGGGCCTTCCTGGTAGCGCTTCCGCGCCAGGGTGGGGGGGCCTCAGCGCAGATCCAAAACATCCGCGTGGACCTCACATCTTTTTTTGTTCCTCCTCACAGAGAGAAGTGAGGGAAGTCCCCATGGTCGGGTCAGGGATCTCCCCCCGTCCGAAGAACATCCCCGACCAGGCCTGCATCGCCCCTCTTCTTCGGTCTCGTCAGGACCTCCCTCCTCATCTTCCCTTCGTCTCCCTTCCTCTCGAAGAAGAACAGCTACATACGCATCAACTTCGGAGCTCCGCCCGAATCTCTTGCATCTGGGCTGCACCCACTCCCCCTGGCGCCGCCAGGAGGACCCAGCGCCGATCCGAGAAGTCCGCGCGGAGCTCCGAGAGGTTGTGTTTATGTAGCTCTCTCGTCCTTGATCCCCTCCTCGCAGGCAGTTTTTCTCCCCCAGTCCCCGAGTTCCGCCCGAAAAGTGTGGCCGCTCAGGAAGAAGGGGGAGACCCTGGGATACACCCCAAGGAGGCTGTTCGGACGCACCTCCATCGAGGATGAACGCCCCCGGATCGTACATAAAAATAAATAAATACATAAACAAATACATACATATTAAATAAATAAATACATAAATAATAAATGAATAAACAAATACATACATAAATACATAAATAAATAAATATATAAATAAATGAATCAATCAATCAATAAATAAATAAATAAATCAATAAATAAATAAATCAATAAATAAATACATACATACATAAATAAATACATAAATCAATAAATACATAAACAAATAAATAAATAAATAGATAAATAAATACATAAATAAATAAATACATAAATACATAAATATATAAATAAATAAGTACATACATGTATATATATATGTTTATATATATATCGCGGGGTTGGGCCCCGCAGTTCTGGCCCACTCGAAAACCCGACAAAGCCCGGGATTGAGTCGGGCCTGTCCCCCTACAGGGGGAGTTTCGACGAAAAATAAAAGATACCCCCCAAATGGTCAAACAATATTCCAAACATAGTTTTTCTTGTTTTTCTTAATATGTTAAAACATATTTATTTTCATATATATATACATACATACATATATATACATATATATATATATGCAAAAAATAGAAGATACAAGAAACTCTATACAACACTTTATAAACTTCTTTCGCCGAGAATCCCCCCTGTAGGGGGACATGCCCGGCATAACCCTATCCCCTGCTGTCTCCCTTGCGGGCCGCGCCGGGAGGCTGGCACTCGAGGCGCCAGCCGGCCACGGCCGCTCCGGGCCGCGCGCGGAGTTGAGCTCTTCGGCTCGGGCGACGAGAGCTATGCGCATGCACCGATCCTGGCAAGGCCCACCCTTGGCCCAGGATCGGTGCATATGCCTTCCTGGCCAAGGCAGGAGGGCGTATGCACCGATCCTGGGCTCAGGATGGGCCTGGCCAGGATCGGTGCATGTGCATAGTTCTCTTTCCTCTATCGGCGCTCTCCGCGGCCTCGCCTGGCAGGCCCGGCCACGCGGAAGACGCCGTGGGAGCGACCACCCGCGGCAGCGAGGCGCTGCGCGCGCGCCGCGAAGCGTGCCCCCCTCCCTCCGCGCTCCTGCTCCTTCCTCTCCAGGCCTCGGGCGTCTCGAAAGAATCGGGACGGAGGCTTCTCATATCGGGGGCGGCAAAGAGGGGGGTGATGACAAGGGGGGGGTGGATATCATGGCCGGGGCCATGACATTTCCCCAGATCTCACGGCGCCTCTTCTTATTTCATTACGTTCCTGGCCCCCCCGCTGGGCCGCGCACATGCCGCCGGTCATGATTTGCACCCCCCCTCTTGGACGCCCCCCTCTTGGCCGCTCCCGATCATAGTTTTTGGCCTCTGAGGGCCTTCACCGGGGCCTCGGGATCGTCGAAGAACGACCGGGGATGAAAAACCGGACCCGGGGAAGTGGTCGGGAGGTCGGGGGCCCTTGTCTCGAGAAATTCGGGACGTCGGATGTCTGGGTCTGCTTCCGCCTCTACGACTGCACATCATGAGTGCTCCTCTCCTCCACCCCGTGGCCCTGCCTGGAGGAAGTTCGGCCCTCTCCGCGCATCTGTTTCGTACACACGGGGTTTCAAGCATGGATTCTTCAGATGGATTTTTACAATTCGATCGTTTTCGGTGTTTCAAGATGGTGCTTCCGCTGCAGGGCGGGCCTCATTTTCGGATCGGTGTTTCGCTCCCGTCGTTCATAATGGCGCTCTGGCCCCAGGGAGGGCGACTTTTCTGGATGCGTGTTCTTTCTCATTGTTGCCACCCTCCTGCCTTCCCCTGGTCCTCCTGCTCCTCCTGCTCATCCTTCTTCTCATCAGCCACCTCCTCCTCCTCCTCCTCCTCCTCCTCCTCCTCCTCCTCGAATGTACGGTGCTTCCTTTTTGTTCCGATTGCGCATAACACGATGGGGTCCTCCTCGGAGTTCCAGGTCCGCTGTAGCACGCGTCGGCAGATATGGAACAACAACGCGATGGGAATGGATGGGTGGGATGATTGGACATCAGATATTGCGCGAGCGCACCTTGCTTGTCACCCCCCCCCCTCTCCTCCCCTTCCTTGCTCCCTCCTCCCTCCTCACGACTCCCTTCCTTCTCCACCCTCCCTCCCTCCTCCTTGTCTCAAGCCCCCATTGGCACCCGCTGCCTCGGCAGAACCATCGCTCGAGGACAGGGCGCGCTTGCGATACTGGTGAGACTGGAGCTCTTGAGGCTACCATGAGGATGGAATCAGCGTCGATACAGGGTCAGGGGGAGGATGAGGATGCTGGATGATGTAGGATGGAGGATGGATGATGGAGGATGGAGGGTGGAGGATGGAGGACGGATGATAGAGGATGGAGGAGGGAGGAGGGAGGAGGGAGGAGGGAAGAGGGAGGAGGGAGGAGGGAGAATGGCGGAAGGAGGAGGGAGGGGGGAGGGGGAGGAGGGAGGGTGGAGGGTGGAGGAGGAGGAGGAGGAGGAGGAGAAGGAGGAGGGGGGGGAGGAGGAGGAGGAGGAGGGGGAGGAGGAGGAGGAGGAGGAGAGGCAGGAGGAGAAGGAGGAGGAGGAGGATGACGAGGACGAGGACGAGGACGAGGAGGACCAGTGTAGACCCAAGTGCATCAACGATGTTGGAGTAAACCCTTCCTCCAAGCTCCCTCTTCATAGGCCTCATGCAACGGTTCATTTTCATTGAGGGAACTGCCTCGTTGGGAGACACCCGTTTGAAGACCCTGAAGCATGCCAAAACATTGTTCTCGGGATTCCAACGCCATGGATCAACCTGACTGTTGCGTCTTGACGATTCTGAATCGTGCCCGAACGCCGTTCCTTGGACTTCAACACAGAACATCCACGTAACTGTTGCGCCCGCATGATTAGTAATCTACACTATTTCTGGCACGTTGATGATAGGCATCGGTGAAACTCTTCAGAATTTTGTAAACGCCGCGCCGCGCTGAGGCGAGAGCGCCGCGCTAAGGCGAGAGCGCCGCACATTTTGAAAACCACTCGCCTTCAATCCGTGAAACTCTGGCATTTTTTACAACGAACGGGCGCCGCGCTGAGGCGAGAGCCACATTTTGAAAACGACCCGCTCCGTGAAACTCGTGCAAATAGTTAAAACGAATGTGCGCCGCGCTAAGGCGAGAGCCACATTTTGAACGCGACCCGCCCTGAACCCGTGAAGCTCTTGCAATTAAAAAACGAATGTGCGCGGCGCTAAGGCGAGAGCTACATTTTGAAAACGACCCGCCCTCCATCTGTGAAGCTGTTGTCCGTATTTAAGCTTCAGAGATATTAATAGTGAGGAAGTCTCAGGCGAAACGCCCGGCCCGCCCTAAAATCTGGCCTCGGGGTGCGACAGGGAGAAGTTATTATAAGGAAAAGGAATGGAGGAGGAGCAAGATGCGGGATGGGGGAGGAGGGAGGCTCAGGGAGGAGCCAGGGAGGAGAGATAAGAGACGAGGGAGTAGGTAGGATGAAGATGAGGAGCGAGGGAGGGAGGGCTAGAGGGACGAACGATGAGGAAGGAAGGAGGGAGGAGGAAGTGGGAGGAGTAATGGGGGACGAGGAGGAGCAGATTGAAGGGGATGAGGAACAGGAGGAGCAGGATGAAGGAGTGGGAAAGGGGAGAAGGAGGGGGAGAAGAGGAGCAGGGGGAGCAGACGGGACGGAGGTGGAGCTGACGAAAGGTAGGGAGGAGGAGGAGGCCAGGAGGGAGGGCAGGCGGATCTCGCTCGTGGACCTCGCCGGTGGATCTCGCAGGCACCAGGCCCGCCTCCAGGCAGGGGCGGGTGCCCCGTGGGGCGGGGGGAATAACCCCACCGGGGTGGGCGAGCTCCGCCCTCGGGCCTTCGGCGCGCCACCCTTGGTGGGCTGGGCCCCGGGCCCCCGGCCGGCCACACTTGGGGAGGGGACGGGGCCCGCGAAGCAGGCGGGGGGAACGGGCGCGAACGCCGTGCAGGGCGGGGGGCGAAGGGGGCGGCCCCCCCCCCTCCCAGCCGGCCCCACCACGCGGCGCCCCCCGCTGCCCCGGGCGCCTCCCCGCGGCCGGGCCCCGGCCGAACCCGGCCCAGCCTCGGAGCCCACACGCGACCCCCCTCTCTGGCCCCAGGCCGACCCTCCAACGCCCCCCCCCGCTCGCTCTGCATGGCGCCCCACCAGCGCGGCCCGCGGCCGAGTTCCGGCCGCGCTCGGCCGCGGGCGGGGGCTCCCGCCTGGTCTCCCGCCGACCGCCCAGTGGGCGGCCGTCCCCCGCCCCGTGCACGTCCCGGCGCCTCCCGGCGGAAGGGGGGGAGCCTTCTGGCGCAAGACGTCACGGGAGGTTGTTCTGCCGAGCTCCCGAGCGCCTGGCAGAGAACCCGCGCGAGACGAGCGCGCCGAAATCGCCCCCTCTGTCCCCAAGGCCCCCAGACAACCTTCGTAAAGCTATAGCCCCCCAGGGCGCCCGTGCGTCCTGGCACGGGCGGCTCTTCCCGGCACGGGAGGTTTTTTTTTTTTGCCGAGCTCCCGAGAGCCTGGAAGCAACACCGCGCGAGACGAGCGCACCGACATCGCCCCCAGCCTCCCAGAGGCCCCCAGACAGCCAGCAGAAAGCCATCGCGCCTGCAGGGCGCTTTCGCCCGCGCGTCCCCAGTGCAGAATGCCGGCGGCCACGGGGGCGGGGGGACCCCGCGCCCGCGGGCCCCCCTGCCTCTGCATCCGGTCCCGCGCGGCCGTCAGCCCTGCCCCCCCCCCTGGCCCCCCCCCGGGATGCTGGCCGGCCCTCCTCCCCCTCCCTGGGAAGGCGGAGCTGGCCACGCGGTCCTGCCAGAGGCGCGCGGCCACATCCCACCCCCGAGGAGCCTGGCCTCTGAATGCGCTCGCGGGCAGGTGGGGGAAGGGGAAAAGAGGGGGGGGGGCGGGGCTTCCGTCCGCGCCGCCCGGCTCCCTGCGGATGGCGTGGCCGGGCCCGGCCAGGGCTCGGCCACGCCGCGCGGGCGGTGTCCCTCCCCTCCTTGCATGCGGGCTGCCCGCCCCAGCCCCCCAGGCAGGGTGGGGGGAGGGATGGGGACGCAGGGGGCGGGAGGCGGGGCAAGAGCGCGGTCGCAGCAGCCGCGGCAAAGCGACCTCCCCCACGCCCCACACCCCTCTGGCAAGCCCCCCTCCCCCCAGGTGGGGGGAGGCATGGGAGGGAGGGCAGGAGGAGGAGGAGGAGG